CGCGTTTGGCCTCCTTGGCCACCTGGGCACCCTGCCGGCTCGTGTCCAGCCGGCTGGCGACCAGCACCCCCAGGCCCTTTTCCCCGGGCAGCTCTCCAGCCGCTCCTGCCCAAGCCTGGAGCGCTGCCTGGGGTTGGTGTGGCCCAAGTGCAGGACCCAGCACTTGGCCTTGTTGCACCTCATCCAGTTGCCCTTGGCCCATCGACCCAGCCTGTCCAGATCCCTCTGGAACAGACTACGATACAAGCCAATGATCAGCACACAACCTATTCTTTAAAAAAATTGAAATCCATTGTGATGCTCAGTCCAAGTAATACTGACAGCTCTTTCAGCATGGTAAGCAGAAGTACACATCTGAATGACTTTTTTTTCCTCCCCCTTGAAGTAACCTTCTGAAGTAACCTTGAAATGCCCTTGTTATCTTTAGGCACCTGAACTTAAACTTTCCCCTGTGACAAATAAAAATGAAGGGAAAAAACTAAGATGCCCTGTTCCTCCAGGCACATTCTCTTGTTTCAGTGATATCCCAAAGCCATGCCCCTGAAAGGAACAGCAACACACAGGGAATGAAAGCTCCAAGAAGGGAATTCACATGGATAATCACTGAAAAAAAAAATCCACAAAAAAAGACCCAAAACAAATAAAAAAACACCTGTACACATTTTGGTCTCAATCTTGTCAGTATACAATTCATGTTGAACTGGTTAGTGGTCCCTGTTCTCTCAGTTATATAAGAACTTTGAAGAACAAACGTAGCTGGAATTCAGAGGAATAAAAGCCAACCTATATCCCCCTAAACTAAACACAGTTTGGAAGATGTGAGATGGAGAGTCAATCACTGGACAAGAGATTACAACTATTTTGTTGGGTCAGGACGTGAGAAAGGAGCTGAAAAATGAAAAGGCAGGGGCACGCAGAACTACAGTGACATAGAAAATCCTCATGTTCGAGTGCAGAGTAAACAGCGCTTTTCCTCCACTTTCACTGTGAGAAGGACCACATCTGGATTTACGTTCTCCGCTTCGGAAGCCAAAACGCATTTCTTGCCTAAAGCTCTTTATCTATCCAATGCAACATGCACTAAGCTCCTTCCTCTCTGGTGTTCGGCTGCTGCAGCTTGCTGTTCCTTCAGCAAATCACCAGAAGTACACTAGGAGCTGCTCAACACTGCAAGTAATTTCATTTCTAAAAGAGAAGCTGGAAGCAGCTGTGGGCACACACACCAGTGCTGACATAGCAACTGAGTCCAGAATCAAGAGGACTAAAGCAGATGAACTGCTAAAGATGAATCAGACTAGATAAGAAAAATTTCAATTATCCGTCCTCTTCTAACCAGTACCAAACAGTTGCCTTCCTCCTTTCTGCCTTTCTCTCTTCATCCTTCATTAAGAAATACTTTCATCGGTGGAAAGAGAGTCCATACGTGTTTGTAAAATATGGAAAGAGACAAAAGACAGACAAACAGCAACACGTACTTTCACACCTATGCCACATCCCAGAATACAGACTAGTTGATCCAGTCCCCAGCTGTCACACAGTTTTCACTCTCATCCACAGCGACAGCAAATAGTGAAGGAAATACTGACATTATCACCATCAGCTGCTCTTCGTGGAAAGCTTGTTCTATTCCACAAAAATAACGTATTACTGGAAAGAAGAAATCTTACCTCAGCAGACTCTCTGCTGGGTGACAACGTACAGGTCAATGTACGCTCACCCATACTATACGGGTATTGCTTCAGGAAGCTGTACATGGATCTGGCTGACTTGGGACTATCCAGCTGCAGAATTGCCTAAACAGATAAAAGCACAAGCTTCAAATAATTGTTACTTCATCTTATTTCTGTATTGCAGAATGAGTTTAATAAATTAAGTTGGTATAGCATGTGGTATCTAGTATTCCTGAAGGGTTTCAACATCTTCATTTGAAATTAGCTATAAGCAGCATTTTTTCATGAAATCTTGTTCTGGATACGGAGAACAGTGGACTCTTCTTTCTGAGAGGCTGAAGAAAGAAGTCTCTCCATTTGGGACTATATTTAGAACTAAAGAAAGAACTACATCACAGTGGAGCTTGGAGCTTCCCTACCCACATGTGTCCAACCTTCTGGCTCCTGGACACGTTCAGCTTTGATTCTGCTGTAACTCATCAGTACCTTCCCATGAGGGCGAGGGGAAGTGCGTGGCATGAAAAAAATTGCAAGATTACATCTATCAAGGGAACAGTAAAATGAACTACACACGAAACTTTAACTGCCATACTAGAAAGGAAATCTCTCACTTCTTTAACTTTTAGCTATCAAGTACAATAACACGAGAGTTTTACAAGTCACCTTTAAAATTTTCCAACTATTCAAGTTGTGTTCTAAAGCTGATAATACCTTTTTGTTTGTGTTTATAAATTTAAAGCAAACCTTAAATAAGCCAGCCCCCCCCCCCCCACTGCCCTTTTCGCCCCCCCCCCCCTTTTTTTTTTTTTTTTTAAGGAAAAAGGAAAACACACAACAACCAAAACAAATCCCCCCCCTTTGCCCTTCTGGGATCTCTACTACATCTCCGGATATTGAAAACAGATCAGAAAGCAAGCTGCTCCATCAAATACTATCACGAAGTGCTGATTCAATGGAATGAAAGCATTTGATGTTCAATTCAACAGAATTAGTTGAAGGTCTAGAAATTCGCCTTAGATGTTTTACTGACTGCAGAGTTCTCTTTATTGCATTTAAAAACAAGTTAAAAGGCAGTATTTGTTTCAAAAAAAGAAGAATACTACTATTTTTTCTTAAAAGCATCTTCCCGTTTTATCGTTTATTAGCAGATGGACACTTAGACAGCATGTAATAATGGGAGGACAATTCCATTTTAATCATTAAGATATGCACACACAGTGAATTAAATCCAGTTCATAAAATAAAAATCCAATGTGCAAAACCAGCACCATTAAAAATTGAAATATCAAAATTTTTTAAAAAAGAAAAATCAAGTCACTATGTTTTGAAGTGTCCCACAACAAAAAGTCATTTCAGCAATTCTGACATTTTCACTTCTCATAACAAATTCAATTTTTCCCCCAAGTTTCCTACAACATGGGAACTCATTTTCGCCCTCACTTACACCTCTGATATCAAAGGTTAATAGTTTTTCCAGCCATTTGGGAAACTTTACTTTCAGAGCCTAACAAACTATTCTTGTATTGTTCAGACTAGATAACAGCCTAAAGTTTGTTTTCTTTGTGTTTTTTCCTTCCTCACTGCTCAGCAAATAAGATGAACTACTTTCTTTTTCAGGATGAGTGGGAATGAGTTGAATCTTTGATCTCTCATTAGCAGAACATTCTTGGTACTGGGAGATGAAAACCTACTTTTTTAGTTATTTTTTTTCCTAACATGGTACTTTGCACCACAGAAAAAGAAAATATTTACCTTGTTTTTATTCTTCAGTACAACATAATGATCTACTTTTCCAAATCGAAGCCCCACACAAACTACTTCAAGTTCTCTGTATCCATCATCTGGCAAGTTCCCAAGATGCACAAACTGATTATGTAGAGTTTCCGTATTTACCTAAAGAAAAGCGATGACAAAACTTGCTTTAACTTTGTAACATACTTTATTAGCAACTACCAAACTAGGTTAGAAAAGCCTCACAGAGAGCTTCTCCATCACTCGGATCTCATCAAAAAAGAGCATTCACACACATCCAACTTTCACATCTTCAAATTCACACCAGATTTTCCATTTTCTATGCCGTATATCAAAGAACCAGCTATGCTTCCCAATAAAGAATAGCAACTGAAAAGGATCGAGTGTCTTTTTTTAAATTATCATTTAGATTTTTTAACCAACTAGTACAAGTCTCTTTAAGGAGCACTGCAAAGCGTAGCTGAAGTTTAAATACAATTTGGTATTTTGAAAAGCAGGACGATCTATAATCTGACTAGATAGTGTCAAGGCATAGAAACCTACCCAAGAGACTTCAATCCTGGTTTTTAAGTTGGAGTGTGGTTTACTTGATCAGTTTGTAATAACATAAAGATCCTTGGTCAAATATCTTTTCTTGTGTTTCTCAGTTTTCAGACAGAGTTATCACCACCACCATGGGAACAAGCTATCAAGGAGACCAGTAAGTCTCTTCCGCCCAGGAGGGATTCTGGTGCAGAACATACAAGAGCGCTGACAGCACATGGAAAGCCATCACCAGCCACATAGTGCCAGCAGAACCAAAGACTGAACCCTGGCAACAAATATTTTGTGCAGGATTAAAGGGAAGGGCCCTGGGACACAAAGTCTAAAGGTATTAGTAGACTTCCAAAATCTTAAACAAGTCTTATCTTTAAATACTTGAAAGCTGTGTGTCTTCTAGAAACACAACACTCACTCCCACGAGACTTCCCCGCCCCCTCTCCAGGTCTGGGATGTTTTTCTTCTATTATTCATGACTTTATGATGATTAAGATGAAGGAGCAGAAAGTAAGTATTCCCCCACCAGCAGACCAGAAGCGTAAGTAGGATGGGGCAGCAGGGGTGCTGGCAGTAAGTACTCAGATGTGGCTGTTAGCCAACGATCGCAAGGAGAAAGCAGATATGCCCCAGACACGCTTGCGATTGAAAAAACCTCTTGAGGTTTCGTGGAAAGTGATTTATTGTTGGCAGGGCTCTTTGCAATATGCTTTTCAACCAAATACAATTAGCTTGACGCTGCTGTTCTTGAAGTTACCCTTGTGAAGTTCTTGTGTCAGCTGTTTAAGCCCAGCGACACATTCAGACTCAGGGACTGACCCTCTATTAAGATGCTTTTGACAGAAGACACAAAGGCTGTAATTTCATTAACCTCTGCCTACCTACACTGTATAAAAATGCTTTGTACATCAATTGCCAGCTTGCACTGTGTGCAGTGAAGGAACAGGAGGGACAAGAAGGGAGACACTACACTGAACAAAGCACAGAGGTAGTTTTGATAGTTAAACCAAAATAACTGGCAATAGAACACAGTGGGAAAATGTGGGGGAAACAAAACAAAACAAAAAAACCTGGAAGCATTCAATACAGGCAAACACTGCACATCCTCCAAGCTATGGCGGTCAGCAGCTTGTTGTCAGAACAAACAAACAAAAAAAAAAATGACAGAAGGGGAGAGTCTCAAAGGACTCCTATTAAATGTTTAATTCCTTGCACTTCATGCATCATAGAGCTAAACTAAGTGAACATTTACTCATTCTATTCCCTGCTCATTCGCCCAGGAAAACATATATAAACATTTAATTCAAGAGAAAGCTTAGGTAACAATTCAAGTAGCTGATATTTCAGTATGAAGGATACTAATTCCAATTTAAAGTAATGTATTTTGATAGCATGTGGAGGAAAAGTTAGATTGCCAGCAACTTACCTTAGGGTCAGAATCTTTAATTATAGCAGTAAATATTGCTTCCTTTAAAAAAAAAAAAAAAAAACACAAACAACACATTATAAGATTTTAACCATAAAATAAAGCTTCACCAGCAGCAGCTAACTGGCAGTCACTGACTCCTAACAACGTTTTAGCTTCTGCTTTATTAATCAAATCGACAGCATCAGCGCTTCTGACATCTGTATTATTCTCCTAATCAGAAGACCAGGACCCAAAGACATTTAACAGAATCAGTCTTCAATAGGACAAACCATCAGAATGCATGAAACCGGCAGTGTATAGAAGTCAGCTTAAATACAAAGTCCTGCTCTGTATTGAAATGTTAGCACATATCCTAAAATTTCAGTATTTTTTATTACTTACTTCATCTTTTAGAGTCTTATACTGAGGCACCATGTTAATGCAGAGCTGATTTCCATCCAGTGACATTGGAAAGCAGGTGTAAAATTTAACCATGGAATCTGCAGATTTTCTATTTATTTCAAGATAAGCCTTTTAAAATAAAGAAAACAAAAAAATTTTAAGTTTGTGATTTATGAAAATCATCTCCCATCAACACTTGCCACATTTGCATTTGTTAAAAACACAGTTGTTGCCTCTCTATGTAGAAACACTACTAAATACCCATTAGAATACCTTTTTATGAGATGATAAAATTAGCACATCCCTCAGTCCTCCAAATGGCTTTGCAAGGTTGGAAACTTCCTCAACAGAATATCCTTTCTCAGGCAAGTTTGAAATAAGAATCACACATATATCATCAAGTTCCTGTAAACAAATGAAAGTAAGTATTACTGGTATTTCTTCAACTCCAAATCAAAACTGCACATTACCGAAGGGAGCGTTTATTTTTACTACACAAAACCACCATTAAACTGAATGAAGCACTTTCTTAAAAGCATGTTATAATACTTGCAATTACCCCAAAGCCAGAGGCCATTTAAACCTTTTTAGGATGTAGCAGCAAAGCATATTAAGCAATTTTTTTAACCCTTTTCTCAAATTATGTCAGGTAATCACCTTAATTATTCATTAACTGTAGATGTATCTACAACTAAGCTAATTCTGCACAAACCTTAGGTTGTCTCATGCTACCTCAAAAATTCACAGCAAATCAAAACCCCCTATAATTATGCCACTACTCTCTACCCATGACATGCCCACATGTCAAATGCTGCCGGACTGTATGTGCAAATGCCGCATCTGAAGGGAAGAAACCCACAGTACAGCGATACAGATGATCAGAGCACAAAGGAGCTTTGGTGTAAGGAACAAACTCTGAAGGGGGGGGCAGGGAAGATGGAAGAGTGAAGTGGTAATGTCTATTAAATCACGAGCAGAAAGAAGAAAATAAACTATTCTGTATTTCTCACAAGAAATTAAGAGGCAGGGGATGTCAGTCAGAAGTTTTCAGACAGCACACCAACACCTGGAAACTGGCACCAAGTGTGTACTTACAACTTTCACAGATTGAAGCACCTTTTGACTGACCTTGCTAGCTGGTTCTGTTGACTCCTCACTCTTTGTAGTCGCTACCGTAGCTTCTAAAAATTTTAGAAAAAAAAGGGAGGGGAGGGGAGGGGAGTTTAGTAGTTCAGCAGATTTCTTTAAATACTGAAGAGATTTAAGAACTTCTTGCATTACATTTTATCACCACCGTCATTGTGAAAAATGAAATATTCCTTCATTTAACTTACAGTGACAAATGGCATTGATGAGACACATGCAGTTACTTAAATGCTTCCAGAAAGAATGGTTTTAAGTAGGGATAAAAAAAATTTAAATCCCTTAACTAACATGCAAACACTCTGCTGACATTAAGGCCTTATCAGTTGAATAATCACAACCACAAGACTTTCTTGTGGGCACACTGGGACTATGTAGGTGCCCAGTATGTGCCCACAAAATCTTTCTTTTTCTTTCTTTTTTCTGGGACAAGTCCACAGCGATATGTGAGGCTCAGAAAAATATAGAGAGCAGGAAACAGGAAAACCGCAACCACACAGGACAGGCAAGCACAGATAAAAGAGAATCACTTCTACTGTAAAATGTCTGTATCTACCTCTAACATGCAACAGCTACAACCTTGCCATACCTCCACTATCACTGAGAATTAATATACACTTATGCTATGTTTAAAGCCAAGTTTGATATTAATGAGTTATAAAATATGGGGAAAATAGCATCTGTTGAACCAGCTCTAGCAGGCACTGTAAAGCAATGAGACTAAAAGAATTAGTGGTGCAGCTGTAAACAGAACATAGAGGAAGCCTGAATCCTTTGCTCTAATGAGCTGTTAATAAAAGTCCCAGTGTCGCACTGAAACAATCTAGGTAAAAATATTATGTCCACTGAAAGATGTAAATCTTAGGTGTTTTTAGCCACTTCAGTCATTATGATGAACTGTTGTTTTATGTTTCAGTCAGTGGACCTATTTTAACAGACTTTCTTTTCTGGTATCTTGTGTCATCTTAATTTCCTGGCCTCAAAAGCATTCTCATTTAGTTCACAATAGCAGAGAGGTTTAGGACAAAAATGAGAAAAACTCTGTCAGTTTGCAATTTACCTTGATCAGTTAAAGCTTCGTTAAACTCATCCAAGTCCGACGCCACCACCTGAGGCATCTGTGCAAGTTTCTCTTAAAAAAAAAAATTTCAAGAAGACATCACGATGTTAAACTTCGCATAACTTACAACTAGCAACGTAACTTAAAAATGGCATTATTGTATCAGAATTACCTAGTACAGATACAGGATTAGTCACTCCTTCGGACTGAGTCTCTACTGTCTTCACAGGCTCTGTAACTTTGTCCCCTTCTGAGACACTCTTTGAGTCTGACAGCCCAGTTTCCCCGACTTCATTTTCAACTTCTGTGGAGATTTGAAGGTCTTCATCTGTTGATTTTGCTGCTAGGTAACAGCAGGAAAAAAGCATTCTTCATTTCAATATATTAAACTTATCGATTTGCAAAAGAAGAATGAACTGCACTATAAAGTTTTCTGCCAGATGTTCGGAGGCCTCCTATCACATCAATTCCCACCCCTCGTTACAAATGGGCAGAAAATGTACGTAGAGGAAAAGCTTCGCCAACCAAGTGTACGGCTGTGGTTATGTGAAAGGCTCTCCTTCCCCAAATTCACCTACTTGCCCGCATCCTTTGCTATTCTAGATCTACAAACAGCACAGACGATCACTGCATTAGCCAAGCCACAAGACCAGTGCTGGTCTACCTACCTACTACATCGGCAAGCCCAGCAGAAGGTGAGAAAAGCTTGTGCTAACTACGTTAGATATCTGTTCTGGAGACAGGGCGGGCCGGGTAGGGGGACAGAAAAGCACCTGCCTGTGTTTTCTAAGGAAAGAGTAAAAGTTTTTCTTTGTCTTACCTGCAGTATGTGAAGCTTTCTTGATTTTACTATCTCCTATCGTAGATTTCTTAGTCTTTTCTTTTTTACCTATGTAAAATATCCAAAAACAAGTCAGTCAGTAGAAATGCTTATTTCTTAAGTCTTACATTTGTGAAGTGTTACAAAGAATATAAAAATACGTACAACTGTAGTTCAAACTGCAGCAATTCAACTGACACAAAAAAAAAACAAAAACCACAAACCAACCCAAAACCTAAACCGTAAGTTAATTCCAACAGACCTCTGAATACAAGTCGTGAAGTAGATTATCTTTTGTGAATTTGTTTAGGATTCTGTGGACAAAACCTTGCTCCTGCAAAAAAGTTTGTGTTCTCTTACATGACTGTAAAGAATTCACAGTTTCCATCTGTGAGACACAGCTCTGAAATGCACTGTCACATGAACCTTACTTCCCTTCTGGAAACCAGATTCAGAAGTGACCATGCTGACAAGTGAATCAAGACCAATACGTCTTTTAAAAGCACAATTTCCCATCAAAGTAATGTCTGGTCCCCAACTTTGCTCAGAAAAATTGCTTATGAAAGCCAATAAAATAAGCAACAAAAAGATGATACGGCTGTTATTTCCAATGTCTTAATAATACCAAGTTTTGTAAAGTTTAATTGGCTTTTGATGTATTTACCACAGTTTGACCTGTTTTCATTGAAGTACTAAAAAAAAAAAAAAAAAGAGTAAATAAAAAATTTCTTCTCTAACAGCATGACATAGAAATTTTTCTGACAGAGCAAGTAATACTAATTTATATATTTTCTGCCTGGATCATTAGAAGACCAAGGCAGAAATTTAAAAGCATTTGAAACATACAAGGAACATAAGACACTGTGAAGCACTAAAAATAACTGTGAAAAGAGAGTAATAAATACTTACACATTAGGCTTAAAGTCAACTTGAAAAATTACATTTATTTCATGGAGCCCAAAGTGCCACATTTATCTTCAACAGATGAGGCAAACATTTAAAGTTAGAGAGTATAAGCACAGGTCAAGGTGGCTGTTCAGAGTTTTTTATTGCTACTTGAGGGTTGGGTCGTTTGGGGGGGTTTTAAAGACAGACAGGGTTGCGTGAAAAGGAAGACATTTGGAAGCATAAACTAGGTGTTTTCTTGTAGCTCTCTGAGCCGTCTTTCAGTCACTATTACGAGAAGCATTCATAAAAACAAAAAGGGATGGCAATAACAGAGGTATCATCCAATAAAAGGTAACCAAAACCTTACCTGTAATGGGTTTATTTGTCTTAGTGGTGGTGTTCCGATCTTTTCTATTATGAGGAAAAAAAAAACCACCAAGAAAGATCAGTTTTAAAGACAATTAATGAATATTACAACAGCTAAAAAAACCTCAAAAACAGTAAAACACAAGAAACCAAACAAATATGAACCCACTTGGCTTCCAATTGTTATAACTAACACTAATGCATTAATGGCAACACTTACTTCGTACTTGGTGCAACTTTTTTAATATTCTGAGCCCGTTTTTTTATATTCATTTTGGCCTGGAATGGACAGAAAGAAAAGCTTTCACTGCATCATTTATACGCTATTTATAAATGTATATATAAATATAGATATAAAATAGTATTCATAATTATTAAGAGTAGTTAAGTATATCCATTAATATAGGTTGTATCTTTTGCTGTTTGTTAAACTGACACTATTCACAAATATCAAATTTAACCAAGAAAAATGAAAATGTCGAATTAGGAAGTCCATTTGCATATTTATTTTAGACTGCTGTTTATGAAAAGGAAAATAAAAATATATTAAAACTATTAAAGCTTTTTTTCTGGAGAATATCAAGTTCTGGAGCAAAATACCAAGCTACACGCACAGTATCATGTTGTTCACTAACTGGCTGCTTACCTGGCCAGGAGATGCTTTTGGCTTTTCTGCTATGCTTATTTTCACCCGTTTCCCATTTACCAGCACTGGCACAGTTTCACCATATTTCACAGCTGCTATCACAGCTTCTTTGTAGTTCATTTCCAGGAAGGCCTAAAATAAATGGCACTTTCAGTCTGTATTTATATTACAGACACAAGAGAGAATTTGCTGCAACTTTTCCTTGGAAAATGTGCTCACAACAGAACTGCATGTACTTCTCTCTCTAAGTTCACGTGGAGTTTCATGAAAAGTCTGGATTTCAGTATTACACAAAAAACATCCTACTTCCTGTAACGTTTAAGACTTAGGTAGCAAGCAAGACCGAATTTACAAAGTTAAGATTCCCAGCTATTCCAAGATCACATATGTGGTCTTTAACAA